TGGAGTTCCCGCGGCCCCTCAACTCTGCCAGCCTGCACCCCACCAAGGCCCTGCTGCCATCCAGCACGGACCCATCTGAGCAGCAGCAAGGGGTCCCCACGGACGGGGAGGGGGCAGAGCCCCGAGCCAACCTCACCACTGTGTCCGACAAACGGTTGCAAATCCAGAACCCCTTGTACCCGGTGACGGAGAACTCCTACAGTGCCTATGCCGTGATGTTCCTGTCCCTCATCGTCTTCGCAGTGGGCATCATTGGAAACCTCTCTGTGATGTGCATTGTGTGGCACAACTACTACATGAAGAGTGCCTGGAACTCCATCCTGGCCAGCCTGGCTTTCTGGGACTTCCTCATCCTCTTCTTCTGCCTGCCTGTGGTGATCTTTAACGAGATCACCAAGAAGAGGCTGCTGGGGGACGTGTCCTGTCGCATCGTGCCCTTCATGGAGGTAAGGGGCTGCACAGGGCCCTGGAGGGCTCAAGGACTCATCTCCTCTCTGCCCTCTTGCTTTGGGGGCAGCCCATGCTGCCCCAGAGACCCCCGTCATGGGGCACAGCAAGGACCCAAGGGACGGTCCCGATATCGACCTTCCCTTTGCCTCTGCCCTGGGCCATTCCTCAGGCTCTGCAGCCAGCAGCAACGCTGCCAGGGCTGGGGAGAGCCTGTGAAACCCTCCTTTGTCCAGCCAGCATGGGGACTTCTGTCCGTGGGGTCCCTCTGTCTGTCTGTTCCTGTCCCAGCTCAACACCCCTGAGCCCGTGGGCTCAGCCCCACAATGTGCTGGGCCAGCACTGGCCACGCTGGGCTGCTGAGGATGGCCCTGGGGCAGGGGGCTGCAGGCAGGGAAGCGCTGAGCAGCCCTGGGGTGGGAGAGCCCAGGGATTATGTTTGGGAACCTGAGGTCTTTGCTTGTCCTCAAGCCTCATACGTGATGGGTTGGCCACGTTCAGGGTGAGCTGGGGACCCACTGAGGAGGTTACAGGGACTGTGGTGACAGGGGAAGGCAGAACGAGCCCCAGATGGCATGGGCTTGCATGGTCCTGCTCTTGCGTTGACAACAAACCCATGTGGGGCATCTCCCATCCTGCTGGGATGGCTGTGCCCATCCGTGCCTGTGTCTGACAGACAAACCCAGCCTGCCTGTGCGTGTTGTCGGGGCTCCAAAGCCTGATTTATCGAAGAAGGGTGCAAACACAGGGTTGGAGGCCATCAGAGACAGTGTCAGGTCCCTGAAGATCCTCTCAGGCTTGGTCAGATCAGATGGGGTTCAAAACCTGCCCATCCCACTGAGTGCCTGCTCCCATGGTCCCTGCCCCTGGCACAACATCCAAAAACCAGCCGCAAGCTGAGGGCACGGCTTGTGCTTGAGGGCCCGAGGGTGCTGCCCTCACGCTCCCCAAGCCTGACCAGGTTGTGTGGGGCTGCTGACGCCCCTCAGCACCCATGCCCAGGCCAGCCCTGCCCCTCCCGGGGCTGTCATCATGCTGGGTTGGGACCTGGCCGTCTGTCCTCACCAGACCCATCTGTGCCCATCACCAGGAGTCAAGGCTGCTCAGAGAAGTGACGGCTGGAAGGGACGGAGAGGCTTTGGCACTCAGACGGGGAAAGCTCGTGGCCATAAGGAGCTCAGCCACTATGGGCAAAGAAATGGCCCCAAGACATTGACTTGACCCATCACGATCCCCCCAACATCCCCCTCCGTGGTCCAGCTTCTGCTGGGGCCCGCAGGGCTCAGCTGCAGGGCTTGGCTGCATCCCACTCCGGGGTGGCTGGGTCATCCCCTCCCGCTCCCCTCCACAGCGGCTGCAGGTTGGGGTCGGGGGGGAGACGTGGGCCTGGATGGGCTGGCACAGCCCCACTGCCAGGGCTGAGAGGTGACCAGCTCTGGGGCTACTGCTGCCACCAGTGCTCCCAGTCTCTCCCGCTGCTCCATCCCCCGCAAGCACTGGGACAGTCACCTCCTGGGTCTCAATGCTTTTGCGCAGGGTCTGCAGGGGCACGGGGGTCCCTGGGCGTTCATGGACGGCTTGGCTGTGCACAACCCCAGCAAGGGACCCCAGTGATCCCCGGGGTCCCTTGGGCACCTGCACCCTGGGGACCCTGCCAGGCACAGCCCCAGACCTGCAGGTTACAGCCCAGCGTGACGGAGAGGTGTTTGCTAGGGGAGATGGGCAGCCCCCACCTCGCCGCGCCGTCTCCCCTGCTCAGCACGCAGGAGCTGCTCCTTTCTGGAGGTCTCCCACCCCAGCCTCTTACTAAATGAAACATTTTCCCCATTCCTATCGTCCACCTCAGGCCCCTGACGTTGCAGCCAGGTGGAAGGAGGATTTGGAGAGGGGCAAGAATACGGACCCACGTTTGCCCAGCCAGGCAGGCTCAGCTCCCCGGCTGAGGACAGGAAGGAAAGGGTGATGTCCCCAAACCAGAGCCCTTCCTGAGGAGGGTCTGCCATGGCCTGCCTATCTCTGAGCCGCCCATGGGCTCCCCGGCCATGTCCCCAGGGGGATCCCTGGGGGTGGTACCTCCAGGTGCAGTGATTCAGTGGCGCCAAGGTGCCCCTGGGACAGCTCGGTCCTCAAAGGGACCGATGGGATGTTGGGGCTGCTGAAGGATGCATAGCATGGCCCTGGTGTGGTCCACTACTCCCACCCTGCCACCCCAGCTGCACCCCTGCCCTCCCGCCGCCGGGCCCCAGAGCAAGGGCAGGAAGGGGCTTCAGGGCTTCTCTGCCCACCTGGGACCCAGCACCCTTCGGCCTGGGTGGGAGGGCTTGGCCAGGCCAGAGCCGAATCCCCGGCCACGGGAGGGGAATCAGCCTGCAGCCCAGTGGCTCATGTCCAGCCTTTCTGTGTGGGACTGTGCAAGCGTTTCAGGCTGCTGGGTGAACTCTGTAAGGAGCAAATCTGTCCTCCGCCTTGTGGCTACTCAGATGCTCGGGGGGGACACGACAAAGCCAGGTTTTTGGAGCAGAGCTGGCTACATGGGCTCCTGGTGCCAGGCAGGGTGCAGGGATGTGGCACCAGCTGCATCCCTGCCAGGGCAGCGGGGAAGGATGCTCTGCCGTGTCCGAATCGCACGCCAGGACCAAGGGGCCCAGGGGAGCCAGAGGAGCCTGTGGGAGGGGGCGGGGGGAGAGGAGAGGCAGCAGCACAGGGGAATCAGCCTGCAGCCCAGTGGCTCATGTCCAGCCTTTCTGTGTGGGACTGTGCAAGCGTTTCAGGCTGCTGGGTGAACTCTGTAAGGAGCAAATCTGTCCTCTGCCTTGTGGCTACTCAGATGCTCGGGGGGGACACGACAAAGCCAGGTTTTTGGAGCAGAGCTGGCTACATGGGCTCCTGGTGCCAGGCAGGGTGCAGGGATGTGGCACCAGCTGCATCCCTGCCAGGGCAGCGGGGAAGGATGCTCTGCCGTGTCCGAATCGCACGCCAGGACCAAGGGGCCCAGGGGAGACAGAGGAGCCTGTGGGAGGGGGCGGGGGGAGAGGAGAGGCAGCAGCACAGCAGCGCTGGGGGGGCTGCAGGAGCCAGCCAGGGGGCTGGGCGAGTGCACTGGGTGCTGGTTGTGGGGCCGGGCAATGGTGCTGGGTGCTGGGGGTGGCTCTGGGCACCGGGCAGAGGAGCTGGGACATGAGCAGCATTGCTGGGCAGCAGGGCAAGGTGCAGGATGGTGACACTGGGCTGTGCCCTGATGCTGTGTCTGGGGGGATGCTGCTGTGTGTCACCGAACGGTGACGCTGGGTGCTTGGCGTCAGTGCTGGTCCTGAGCTCCTGCGCTCATGGACCCAGGGCCACTGGAAACGGCTGGGGGGAGCAGCGGGGGGCAGTGCCAGGCCTGTTTGGGGCTGCTGCCCAGGCCTCACGCAGAGCCCTGGGAGGTTTCCTGAGTGCTGGGAAGGGCCTTCAGTACAGGGTGATCTCTGATGGCTTCGTGAGGCCAGGAACGGCGGCGGGGCTGGGGGGCACCAGCACGTGACTCTGCCATCTTCCGGGCTGAGGGCTGTGGGACTTGGCCCCGAGCAAAGCTGCAGCTCTGGGGCTGGGACCGTGAATGCTGATTGTGACCCTCGGTGCCTTGCCAGCCCTCCCAGAGCCACCGCGATTCCTCTGCCTCCTTTGGCCCCTTCCCTTTGGCAAACGGGATGTTTTTCCTGCCGTTCTCAATGCAGCGGAAATTGCCCCAAGCTGATTTGTGACAACGGCGCCTTCAGCTCGCTTGCCCTGTCCGGGAAGCAGGCGGCAGCTCAAGCCAGTCGGGGGCAGCTGGGGGGGCTTGGGCACCCTGGGAAGGTGCTGGTGGGTGCGATGGTCTCTGCTTCTCCTTTCCAAGAGCCAGCCAGAATAGCAGAAGAGCCGGAGGGACGATCCTGCTATTCCCACCCTGGCCGGGCTGACAGACAGACGTCTAGCAAAGCCTCTCCCTTCTGCAGGAGAGGGAGCTGCACAGGGACAAACGGGTCACGGGACATTTTTATCCACTGCCCTTTCAGGAGTCACAGAAATGTGTCTGCAACCCTGGGATGCAGCCACAGGCTGTGACCCCTCTGAAAACTTGGAGGAAGGGTCTCGGGCTGTGGTCTTGGGGAGCCAGGGGTTTGCCGCCAGCCTGGTAAAGTCGAGCCCCCTGAGGTGGCCCTGCAGCATGGCCGACTTGTTCTGCCTCCCCTCTCGCCAGGTGTCATCGCTGGGAGTCACCACCTTCAGCCTCTGCGCTCTGGGCATCGACAGGTTCCACGCGGCCACCAGCCCCCAGGCCAGCGCCCGGCCCATCGAGCAGTGCCAGTCCATCATTGCCAAGCTGGCTGTCATCTGGGTGGGCTCCATGACACTGTCGGTGCCGGAGATCCTGCTCTGGCAGCTGGCGCAGGACACATCGCCCGTGTCCGGCGTGGTGACGGAGTATTGCACCATGAAGCCCTCATCCAACCTCCCCGAGTCTGTCTACTCGCTGGTGCTCACCTACCAGAACGCTCGGATGTGGTGGTACTTCGGTTGCTACTTCTGCTTGCCCATCCTCTTCACCGTGAGCTGCCAGCTGGTGACCCGGAGGATCAGCGGCACCGAGAAGAAGACCGAGTGCCGAGGGACCAAGCACAGCCAGTGCGAGAGTCACTTGAACTGCACCATCATCGGGCTGACCATCATCTACGGGCTCTGCACCACCCCTGAGAACGTCTGCAACATCGTGGTGGCCTACATGTCCCCCGACATGTCCAAGCAGACCTTGGACCTGCTCAACCTCATCAACCAGTTTTTCCTATTCTTCAAGTGCTCGGTGACACCTGTCCTGCTCCTGTGCCTCTGCAGACCCCTGGGCCAGGCCTTCATGGACTGCTGCTGCTGCTGCTGCGAGGGCTGCAGCCCCGACACGGCTTCCAGCGAGGGCAGTGCCGACAGCAAGCTCAAAACGGAGATGTCTTCCTCCATCTTCTTCGACAAGCCCCGGGAGTCCCCCCCACCCCTCCTGGCCCTCGGCACACCTTGCTAAGTGCCACCAGGGAGCTGTAGAGATCGATCCACCACCTTCTCCCAAGACCAAACGTTTTGCCATTAGTGCCCGTGTCTGGACGTGGAGCAAGCAGAAGAGACAGCTCAGGGGGTTGCGCCATGGGCTTCAAACCCCAAGTTGGGCAAGTGGGGCTTGAAACCCCAGTCCCCGTGGCTACATTGGCAGCCTTCTTGCCTCTGCCCAAAGGCCAGCAAGGACATCAGCATCCTCCTGCCCTGGCTGCCTGGCCAGGCTCGGAGGGGTTGCTGCTCTGGAGATGGAGTTGTGCCAGAAAGGTCCCAGCAGAAACTCCAGAGGATTTCCATAGTGGCTTGCAGAGGACACGGCAAACACAAACTGCCCCCGTCCTGTCCCGTTCCCTCCTGCCGGCCCCCTCCACAGTAGGAGAAGGTCCCAGCCATTCTATTCCACCGCACCCAAGCAGTGCCCTGTAAGAGCTCAATAAACCAGTAACCTAGAGCATCCGCGCATGCAGCCGTCCCACCCCACCGAGCAGAGCCCCGGGGAGCCAGTGCCGGGAGCTTGGATAGCTCTGCCCTAAAACCTGGGGGCTCTGGGGGGGCATGGGCAGCGGGGGGGCAGGAGGGCAGGAAAGCAGCCGTGTGGGTCAGGCAGCACCTAAGGGCGATGGGGAAAGGCCCCTCTGTCCCCCTCCCTCTGGGGTGATGCTGAGCAAGCTGATGCCAGGCCAGCGCCTGGGAGGGTGCCGTCCAAAGCACCGGGCTTGGCGTGGTTTGTAAGACTCAAACTGGTCCCTGTAAATCCCAGCCAGACCAGCACTGGGCTGAGGTGCTCCACGGCCTGTGAGGCAACCGGTTCCTCACCTGCACCCTGCAGGACCAAGGTGCTGCCGCTGCACGGTGCTGCTGTGCAATGCTGGGGTGGGGGCCATGCGGGACCACCCCCCCAGCACCCCGGGGAGCCGAGGGGGTGAGCGTCTCACCCAGCCAGCCCCGTGCAGGGCTCCTGGCCTCCAGCACCTGCCCACTGCAGGGACAAAATTGTCCCAGAATGACGGTTTGAGGGCATCAGGGTTTCCAAGCCCCACATCCACCCCCTGCCCAAGGCTCCTGCACCTGGGGGGGCTTCGGGGAGCGGCCCGGGCGGTGGGACCGGGCTGAGGACAGGCTGGCCACGCCGGCCCAGCCCTGTCCACTGGAGCCGCCCCAGCGCGCGAAATGCCAGGGCGAGGGAGACGGTTGCTATGGCCGGGTGAATGCGAGGGGCTCACTGCAGGCTTTGTGCAGCATCGACACCCACCGGGCTTCGCTTTCGCAGCCCCGTTTCCAGGGAAACAAAAGCCCCAGTTTTCTTCCGAGAGCACAAAACTGGGTTTTTCCTTTCCTCCCCCCCCCGCCAGTGCTGGAGTCTGGGAGCAGAGAGGGAGAAGAAGGGTCTCATCCTGGTGTGGGGATGGAAGGGGGGGAGCAGAGCCCGGGCTGCCCGCCGTGCCCTCGCCCCCCCGCATCCCCACGGGCCGGCGGGGTCCCTGTGGGGGTTCAGCGGCGGTGGGAGGAAGGGCGCGGGGGCAGCTCTCATGCGCTTGGTCCGTGCCGCTCCGTCCTGAGCCCGGGCCAAGGGCGAACAAAGCCAGGCTTGTTGCTGCGGGCCCGCGGGG